ATATAAAATATAAAATAAATTTGCAATATGATAAAACTAGATTCAAGTACTGAAGGTAAATACAATTATATTAATACTAGCTAATCAAAAAATAGCATGATAGGACTTAAAGCTGGCCGATTTTTAGAAAATTCCAAATACGAAATCAGCAGGCGGGCATTCCTAAATTAAAAATGATTGCTAGTATTAATAATAACTACGGAAATTTATTCCATTATTACAATACAATTTGGTTCTTTTAAATAAGGTTTAAAGTCGTTTAATTTTAAAGATTTCATTTAATTAATTAATTGAATATATATAAAATAAATGAACAAATAAATAAATGTATTAATTAATAAGACAATTTAAGATTTTATCTAATACTATCATTCTTACTCCTACTCCTATTCTTCCACTATGGTCTTATAATTTATTAAACAAATAAAATATAAATAAAAATTACAATTCAACTAACTATTGAAAAGAAAAAAAACATCATCCACATTTTTAAATCAAGAACAAAGCATAATTTGTAAAAAATTTTTTTTAATCCGCTCTACAGAAAACTATGTCAATTAGAATTTTGAATCATAATAGCGAAAAAAAATTCAAAAAAAATTAATAATAGAAATTACTTAATTATATTCTAGCCCTTGATTTTAACTTTGCCTTCAAAATCGCTATTCTGATCTAAAATAATTTAATAAATAAAAAAATAAATACATCAAATATAGGTAAAAATAAGTTTATTATAAGTATAGATGCTTACCAGACAATTGTGAAATGTCAATTTGCAGGGATTCTATCAAAAAAAAAATAAGTATTTTGTATACAATTAATTTGAATATTTTTTCATTAATCAATACCTTGAGACTCCATACTAATTTCAGAATACTTTTGCTCAGAAAGATTATTGTCATTGATTTTTAATTTTTTTAATTGAGAAATATCAATTAATAAGGATTCTAATTAAAGAATTGAAATAATATTAGTTAGTATTTTACAATTAATAAGAAATTTTATATTAATCATTACCTGAAGATTTTATGCTAATTATATCATCATTCTCTTTATAATAATCATCAGTATTTTTTGGTTCAGGAAGATTATTAAAATTAAGTAATCTACTGGTATAAATAGCTTCTGAATGTGTTTTAAATGATATTCCTAAATTGGTTGAAATTGCACTGACCAATGTTCTACTATTGGTTATTTCTGATTCCTTAATTTGTTGTTGTATTCCTGTATAATTATCAAATTCGCTATGACCACTTAATTCCCTAAGCCATTGGCTTAACAATTTTTTAATTTCTTCTGCTTTTGGCCTATTTAATTGATTTGCATCCAAGCATCTTTTAATTAAATTCACAATTAATTGAGGAACTCTAATATTGAATCTTGGTCTTAGTCCTTGACAAATTCTTATTGCTAAATTATTATTATGGCTTACATCATGATATGGAGGTAATCCAGAAATTACCTCATACATAATTATACCAATACTGTAAATATCTGCAGCTTTGGTATAATCTTGGCCTCGTAAAATTTCAGGAGCAATATAAGGTAAAATACCATATATTTTATTTTTAGTATTTTCTGATGCATTATAATCTGCAGGTTTGCATAATCCCATATCAGTTATACATGTCATGCTTTTAAGCCTTAATATATTACCAATATGCAAATCTCGATGAATTAATTCTTCTTCATGAATATCTTTAAGTCCATGTGCAATGCTATGTAAATAATTAATTTTATCACTCCAACTTAATTTATCATAATTTCCATTTAAATAATTTCGCAAATTTCCACCTTCTGCATAATCTAAACCATAACATAATTTTTTGTTTCTGGATCTTGAGTTATTCCATAAAATTTAATAATACGCTTTTGCAAGTTTAATTTGTAATGTAAGGTTATCTATATATTAAATAAGTATTAGCACTAATAATTATAAAGATTTTAAATTTCAAATAGTAAAATAATTCACCTCATTCATAAATTCAAATGTAACATTTTTTGAATTATTTAAGCTTTTGAGTGCTACAAACATATTTTGATCTTTTCTTTTCCAATTTTGTTGTTTATTGTCCCATTCATCAATATATCCGTCAATCCATCTTGCTCTATATACTTTGCCAAACCCACCTTTTGCAATAAATTCAATATCATAAAATCTGTAGTAAGGTATCCATTCTAATGCTTTTTTGGACACATTATAATTACTATATGTTGATAATTGGATACCTCGAATAAATTTATCAATATCTTCATTCCCACTAGTCCAATTTTTGAAGTTTTGCTGAAAATGGATTGTACTAAATACATATTTATAATTATTGGTTTTTGGATCTTGAGTTACTCCATAAAGTATTTCAGCCTATAAATAAATTATATTAATGAAAATTTAAATTTTGAAATATTATTAATAATTAATTTACCTCATATTTAAATTCTAATGCAATATCTGCCAAATTGTTCAAGTTTTTAAGAATTACATACATATTCTGGCCTCCTCTTTTCCAATTTTGATGTTTATAATCCCATTCAATTATATATCCATCAATCCATTTCGCTCTATATACATCTTTTGTAATATATTCAATATCATAAAATTTATTGTAAGGTATCCATTCTATTGCTTTTGTGAATACTTTACAATTATCATGTACTGATAACTGAACATCCTGAATAAATTTATCAACATCTTCATTACAACTAGTCCAATTTTGGAAGTTTTTCAAAAAATGCATTTTGCAACACACATATTCACATTTTTCACATGTATCATTCAAAACTACTATATAGTTCTTAGTTACCAGATCTTGAGTTATCCCATAAAATTCATGAGTTATACAAAACTATAAATAAATTATACTAGTGAAAATTAGATTTCAAAAATTTCATTAACCAATATATTAATTTACCTCATTNACATACATATTCTGGCCTCCTCTTTTCCAATTTTGATGTTTATAATCCCATTCAATTATATATCCATCAATCCATTTCGCTCTATATACATCTTTCGTAATATATTCAATATCATAAAATTTATTGTAAGGTATCCATTCTATTGCTTTTGTGAATACTTTACAATTATCATGTACTGATAACTGAACATCCTGAATAAATTTATCAACATCTTCATTACAACTAGTCCAATTTTGGAAGTTTTTCAAAAAATGCATTTTGCAACACACATATTCACATTTTTCACATGTATCATTCAAAACTACTATATAGTTCTTAGTTACCAGATCTTGAGTTATCCCATAAAATTCATGAGTTATACAAAACTATAAATAAATTATACTAGTGAAAATTAGATTTCAAAAATTTCATTAACCAATATATTAATTTACCTCATTTATAAATTCGGAACTGACATCTGTTGGACTATTTAAGCTTTTAAGAACTACAGACATATTTTGGCCTTTTCTTTTCCAATTTTGATGTTCTTTATCCCATATGTCCATATATCCATCAGCCCATTTTGCTCTATATACTTTACAAAACTTATTTTCTGAAATATATTTAATATCATAAAATCTATTGTAAGGTATCCATTCTATTGCTTGGCATGTATAATTACTATGATCTGATAGCTGAGAATCTTGAATATATTTATCAATATAATTATTCCCACTAGTCCAATTTTTAAAATTTTGGTTAAACCGTTTTGCATTACATTCACTATCACAATCACATGACTTAATCAGCTTTTTGGTAATTTTAGCAAAGAATTCCATTGCGAACTCTCGAACTACATATAAAAAAGTAAATTTGAAAAAAAACTTTGCTAGTAGTTAAGTAGTAAGACGAAAAAAAAAATTCAGACCGATGTAAAAGTTGTACTTATGTACTAACTCGAGTGTCACGTGATTATATGAAGACCAGACTGCGAAACTAAATAAATATGCAGTGTAAATTGACATGAAATTTGTGCGTTATAAGGACAATAGATATAAATAGATTAGTGGCGCAATTTAATACTATTTATTTTAGGTAGACAATTTATTTTTAGTGACATTAGAATTGGAACTTAATTATAATTTATTTATTCCAAAGTCATAAAATTAGATAAATAAATGAGGGCTAATTTGGGTTATTCATGCCAAATTATATTATGATCTAATAATATAATTTAAATTAATCCAAAACTTATGTCAAAATAAATATCAGTCAATTATAAAAAAAAAATCATCATGAATTATCTGAAAATCTGGATATACAATATATTAATATTTTATTTAAAATAGGTTTTCTCTCTTTTTTTGCTTATTAAAATAATTTCTAATGGTCAATCCCGCTTCTCAAAAAATAATTTAGAATAAATATTAGAATAAAAATTGATTATATTTCATTATTTCTGAAAATAATTCTTGTCATTGATCAAATATTTAAAGAACGTTTGTACTAACTTGGGTGTCACGTGATTATTATGATCAGTACTGGCGGTTTGGGTTCGCGGTTTTTAGAATTACTTTTGACTCTCGCATAGTTTGTCATTAACTCCTTATAATTTGTAATTTGCAACCGTGACTTCATTCACGTGGAATGTAAAAATAAAAATAAAATTAAAATTAAAACTAAATAAATATGCAGTGTAAATTGATATGAAATTTGTGGACAAATTTTACTATAGATATAAATAGATTAGTGGCGCAGTTTAATATTTATTTTAGATAGAGTTTATTTTTAGTGATATTTTATTTAGTTTAGTGGTCCGCGATGACTTTAAACTATGAAATTTGGGGATTATGGTGGTCAGGGATGACCTTTAATAATGGTTATTATATTGATATTTATTATAGTATTATTTATTATTTTTCATTATCATTTTATATATAGTTGAACTTGGGCAATATTTTGTATTTTCACGCACTAATAAACCTTTGTTTTACCCGAGAAGTATTTAACTGTATAGGTCGGCAAAGGATATACTAATCCTTACAGGTAATGCTGCGGGGTGGTCGTACAGCGTTTCATCGTTTCACTTTCGAAACAATAAAGAAATGTTACAAATTGTGAGAAATGTGGCGACAGATACACAAATGTAGAAGATAAATGGTGTAAACCATGTCAAATATGATAATCTTAAAAAAAAATTTTACAAATTGGACAAGCGGAAATGAAATATTTGATGATTTAACTCAAGAAAAAATCGAGATATTCGTGAACAAAATGAAGCTATATTTGAATGGATACCATACAATCAATTGAATGATATTAAAGGAATAAACAACGGTTTATATTTGGCAATATCGAAAGATGGTCCATTATACTATTGCCATCACGGAAAAGAATATCTTTGGTTTACCAATTATTACCAATGAATTTTAAATGAGGTATGAAATGACTTTATTTAATCCAAAATTTTCATATATATATATATCATTGTAATAATTTTTTTATTATTTATAATAAGCTAAATCATATTTTGGTTTAAATGATTTTCCAATATATGGAATATCTCAAAATCCAAATACAAAAGAATATTTTATGGTTTTTCAAGATTATTATTGTGAAAAATATGATAAAAATATACAAATGTGAAGTTAATAAGTGTGAACTTTCAGAATTCTAAGTTATAAGTGTAGCATTACTATATTTAAATTTCCAATTAAATCAACTGCTTTAGCGTTTATTATGCCATTATTAGAATAATAGATTTTTCACTTTATTGTTAGGTAAAAGAATTTTTTATGGATTAGAATGATTAAACGAATTATATAAACTACCTGAACTACATCATTTTTCGTTAAACGGTAAAACGGATTTATGAACTATTAAACTACAGTACACACGAGAATTATATTTTAGGTACATCAATTCCCAAGAATAAATATTCTTGGACAACTTCTTTGATCCAAATAATCCATCACAACTAATTTAATTGATCATATAGAATTAATCTTTGATGAAATAGTCTAAGCAAAAAAAAAGTTATATTTTGGATAGTATTATTCCCTATAAAAAAATTGGATACGTTTTTTATAAAGTTTTTATACGATTTTTTTCCTTAGAAATAAAGTATCATAATAGGGATACGGAAAAATGCAGAATTCTGTATCACTAAAAATAAGGTTTGGATACGGAATTTGCACAGGATTCATATGGAATTTACATGATTTGATCACTGATTTTATCACGAAATTTATACGATTTGGTCACTGAATTTACTATTTGTATTACATTACAGTTTACTATAATTATATTTACATAAATCTAATTTTACTTTATTAAATTAAATAAAAAATAAAAAATAAACAAAATACAAATACATTATGAAAATTCCCTCCTTATTAAAACCACCTATTGCAACCAAAATTATCTATAAGTTCAGGTTCATTTGGAGTCAAACAACCTAAAAACAAAAAATAGAAACATAATAACGTCTAACTTAATTGGAAACAAAACCCCCCTCATGTAGTATCTGCAATCTTTCAAGTCACCAAAGGTCAGCATTCCTACAAAAAAAGAAAGAAAAAGAAACCAAAACAACAAAATAAATCCAAAACTGACCTACAAAAAAAGAAGACTCTGAAGCAACAAAACTGTAACAACCTACAAAAGAAAAGAATCTGAACCCAACTTACAAAAAAAGGGAAAATTTGAACTGACCTAAAAAAAGAAAAAAATCCTGAACCATCCTACAAAAAGGAAAGAACTTCCAAACTGATCTACAAAAAAGAAAAAAGAAACTGAATCTTCTCACAAAAAAATCTGCTGACCTATAAAATAAAAAAGGGGATAAATATAAATAAAAAAGAAAGAGGAATAAAGAATAAATCAAAAAATATTCTTTTAAAAAGAGGGTTAACAAAGTTAGAAAAATAAAAATTTTTTTTTTAAAGAGGAAATAGAAATAGAAAGAAGAAAATTTTTTTAAAAAAAAAGAAAAGTGGGAATAAAAGAATAAAATCAAAAAAAAAATTTTTTTTTTAAAGGAGAGTGACGAAAAAAAAATTTTTTTAAAGGTATGAAAAAAAAAAATTTTTTTTTTAAAAGGGGGATGACAAAGAAAGAAGAAAAATTTAGAAAAAATAACAAAAATAAGACAAGAGAAAAGAGAAAGAAAAGGAAAGACAGAAAGGAAGAAAGGAAGATCAGAAGATCAAACTCATCAAAGTAAAAGTTTATATAAAAAACAAAAAACAAAAAACGTATCATAACAAAACAATAAACAATCACGTGATCTCGTGTTATGATACGGGATTTTTGTAAAATTATCTTCTAAAGATATTAAGTTTAAAAATTCCATATAAATTCTGCATGATTAATTTTTTCCGTATACATTTCGTATACATTGCCGTGCAAGAAAAGCTGCCACCTTTTCCACGACAAGTGACGTTAAATTATCATTAAATAAATTAAGAACTTTAATATTTTTATGTAATAATAAACCAAGCAATGCATTTATTTAATAAAAGTACGAATTTTGGGTTATATAATATAATATTTATTGGGTTAAAATAATTACATTGTGAAAATAAAATAATATTAAAATTAATTATGTAAGAATAATTTCGTAATAACTATTCAAGAACTCCCTTTCACTTCTTCCAAAAGTTGCTCTTTATATAACTAATTTAAGGGTAATTATTTTTTTAGGGTTATTAATTAAAATGTTTCACTATCCTTTAATGTTACATCATAATTAATATTATTATTAATGTTTATCACCATGCGGGTCTTTGATTTTCATATTTGTTAAGAAACAAATAAAAGAAATGCTAAAACGTTTCTTAATTAAAATAAAAAAACACTTCCCATTTCTTACCTTAAAGTCCAGTTTCATGCTCAAGCCGGCACCCTACAAAAGAAACAATTAAAAGGAACGTTAAAACGTTTCTTAAATTAAAATAAAAAAAAAATAACTCCTCCTCTTTCCCCATTTCTTACTTTAAAGTCTGTTTCATGTCCAAGCCATCACTTTACAAAAGAAACAATGAAAACAATGAAAATAAAGGCTTTGACACGAAACGCGTATAAACAAATAACTGATTGACTAATATGACGAATTGTAAAGCCTGATCAGCCAATCAGTGATATAGGGTGAGTAATAACTGATCTCACCCCGGGGTGAGGAATAAATTTTCTCAATAAATAATAAAAATTAAATAAAATAAAAATTTAAAAAGGCAAAAATAAACCTAAGAAAGGGGTCTGAAAGGTAGTCAGTACCTTTAAAAGACTAAAGTAGCTATGTAGATTTGTATTTAATATTAGACTAACAATTTAATTTTAAGAAGACATTGTATAATACTGAACATATAGTAATTTATATTTAGAATATGATTATTAAATTAAAATAATACATTATATATTTATTAGTATAATACAACTATCTATATTTGAATGATATAAATTATATTTACAATATTTACAATACAATAATGTGAAGCATATTTACAATATGATTAAATTAGTATTACAATAACTTGATGCAAATATTAAACAAATGTTGCAGTATTAATTTATGGTTTATTTATATGTTTATAGACTCATCACAAAATCAATTCTGAATAATTATCGCCGTTTTCAAAATGGTGTGTGCAGCTCGATCATCGAATATTGATTATGATGATTGGTCATGTGATCAAAACAAACAAAATTGGCCAATCAAATATTATAATGGTCATGTGACAATAAGTGGAAAAAATCATTGCTCCGCGAAAAAATTAATTTTTATTTAAAATTTTATTTGTTTTGTAATTTCAATCTCTTCTTTATACAATTACAAATTAAATCCTCATAAGGTTTCGATTTTACAATATAAAAATTCAAAATTTTCATATAGAATTTCTGTAAAGATAAAGAGAAAATAAATCAGAGTCAATATTATTATAAAAATGCTTAAATTTTTTTAAAATGACCATTTAAACTTGATAAAACTTTAGTCTAAGCAACATCATACCTGTTAAATAACTTATTTAATTTTTAACTTAGCTCTTAACTTGTTTTGAGGCATAAAATATCTATTGTTATAAAATTATAAAAATAAGTATACACAGTTAGATAGTCTCATTCAAATTTAATAAATCTAAATTCCAAACATTCCAATATTTACAGAAAAACTTTAAATAGCCTTCTAAAACCTTTTAACTTACCAAAAATGCTAAATTATTTTATAATAATGCAATTAGTGTTCCGAAGGGGTCGAGTCAGGTCAGGTTTTGAGGTGTATTCGAACTCGACCCGAGTGTAAAAGTAATGACTTGAATTCGACTTGACCCGATTCAGTTATAATCTGACTCAGATAACCCAGGTTCGACCCGTCAAGTTGTATATAATATAAAAAAATTGAAATTTTTAGTTAAAAATATAATAAAAAGATTCGGGTCGCTGGGTCAAAGTAAAGGTATAACCCGACTTGACGGGTCGGGTCAAGTTCATGCGGGTTACGGGTCATCAAATCGTGCGACCCCAACCCAACCCCTAAATACGAGTCGGGTCAATAACCCGGGTTTGACCTGACCTTTCGGAACACTAAGTGCAATATAACGTAATAGGCAAAAAATTACAAAATTTTATTAACACTATCAATGTAATTGATTATAATTATTATAAAAAGAGAGAAAATGGTATCTAAGAATAGAAAAAAAAATGTAAGAACATTAAAGTTTAAGAGAAAATGAAAAAATCATTAGTTATTGATGGTAAACTCAATAATCGCCAATAATCTCAAACTTTGGACGAAAGAAGTAAAGAAACTCAAAACTGTACATAATAATTGACTTATAAGGAAAAGCTGTAAACAAACCTATTAACGCAACTTCTGGCAGGGAATCTTAGAAAAGAATGCGAAACATATATTGGGTTTAAAATATTCGGTGAAAATCCACCCCAGCCAAATGATCGACATAGTTTATAAGCTGGATGTTCGTGCGCTAACTTATAGCTTATAAACTGCCCATGGGCATATGTAGCCCACGGGATCTGATTGGTTCAGAATGAGGACAATAATGTCC